GAGCACATAAGCAAAAGAGAATGCAAGTCATCTACGCAATGCCGCAATTGGCCCCTTTCTTCAGCAAGCAAGGAATATGAATTATTCCCCTTTCTTTCTAATGTATTAAAAAAATGGAGGGATTTTAAGTGTATCTCTTTTCCACAGCCGCAAGGTGGCACACATCCTCAATGTTGTTCCTGCAGAGGGCAGGATGAAGCAAGGGCAATATCTGACTGCCCTGTTGATTCCTTGCATGTAACGGTCACATACTTAACTCTGATATTAACCTGCCTTGTGTTATGAATGGATTATTTTCTCAAGGGTGACATGGATCAGATTGGCGGTCAACGGAATGCACTGATTTAGGCTGACAGCTTTGCACAAGCCAATTGTCTGTGTGACCTTAGTAATACAGAACAAAAACTCCTTTGAAGCCGGTAGGGAAGTTTCTTCCAATTGTAGATGGTAATGCTGTCTAATACCAAAATGCAATATAGTGCGATTTTCAGGAATTTTAAGAAAAAACGTTAGCAATTCTGAAATTTTGATATATTTTTTTTAAGAATACGTTTGATTCAAGTATAAAAGTAGTATCTGTGTCTATATAATCTATAATATTTTGATGATCAGGAAATATTCAAAAATATACCAGTTGACATTTACACATTGGTCCATATCGTATCTGGGTTATCTTACGCAACTGCTTTTTCTCTCAAAACTGTTTTTATATATATTGTACCGCCATGAAAATGTTTCTCAGTTAAAACAAATGTCTGATAGAAACTAACGAATATTGTACAGTTTCATCCAGTTATACGTCTTGCATTAAACTCCTGCTCTTTCCTTATTACATATAAAGTAAAATTTTAATTCTAAACACTGTTCATCTAAACAATCTCATCTGAATTCATCAGGTATTCTTTACTTAAACTCAAAACTTAATAGCTCAAATCTGTTACCCTTATTTGTTCAGATTCCTCATTTCTGTGCATCTGAATAAATGAAATGTGTTAAAGCTTTTACCCAATTTTGCGTACCTAGATCCAAATTGAATAGATAACACTGGATACCACGCTTGTCTAATATTGGTTATTTTGTTTTAAAAACAAGTGAATTACATTAAGGTTCCTCCACCAAGGAGACCATAAATCCCAGTGCTTGCATCCAAGTGTCATTCTGATACAGCACAAAAGGGCTGCTACAAAATATTGCTGGAGTTGCTGTCTCTGGAGCCATGAAGCCAGTCAGGTTAGAATGACAAAAGACTGAACCTATCAAATGCAGATGCTCACTGAATTCAAATTGAGAAGGAGAAATTTAGATAAATTTAATTGTTTGCTACTTTTATTCAGTAGCATGCTGTTCCTATTATTGAAGATTTTATCTGCTGGCCCATGTCTAAAGGCCATTTGAATGAACGTGGCCTCAAAACCCAGGTGTCACTTCCATTGGACCTGTTACAAGGGTGAGGCTGAGACCCAACTGACTGAAGTGACCTTGCCAATCTTTGAAGGCTTTCGGATTAATAGTGCGGCAGTCATCCACAATAGTATAATACATCCGTTAATGCAATTTATAAATCTACCCCCATTCAGAACATGGACAGCTTCACTGAAAATTAAATTAGAGAGATGCTTTGCACGAAACATAATGAAACCTTGACATTTCTTTCCAGTGACACACTTTCCCTGGAGGGTAGAGATGCTGTTGTAAAGAAATGAAAAGAAAAGCTCATTTTCTCCTCCTTCCTTCTTCTCCATTGCTGAAGCGGCAGTCTTTTAGGCGCGTTCGTCTGTTACTTTAAAAGAAATGCAAAAGGGATTAAAATGTAGATACAATTTAGACATTAAATGTCAGGGACTTTCTATCAAAGAAGGGACCTAGAATTTTGGACTACCTGTGTTTAGAGTTAGCTGAAGGACAGCATCCCAATAATCAACCTGTTTGATTATTGATAGTCACCCTAACTGAGTTATCACAAAATACTAAACGGAATGTCAGATTTATAGAATTTTATAGAACACCTGGGAAAGAAGGAACAGGGAGAATTTCTTCCTCTTTGATTTTGCTTTTTCGTCGTTTTCCCTACAAAATCCATTTTTTGGATTTGAAAAGTTTCTGACTCCTTCTCTTGACTAGGAGAATTTACCCTGATTTTTGTATCAATAGTGTTGAATAACTGAGAAGAAGTCAGTCTTGCTACCATTATCAAAGTTATTAAAACTCTGTAATACTAAATAACAGTACAGTCTTATAGGATGTAAGGATTTTAGATTCATTGGGCAAAATGGAAGTGTCTTTGGTTTCCTAAAGCATAGATTTGTTTCCATAGTGTCACTAACATTCAGATGTTTGATTATATTTTAATGAATGTGAAATGGATGTAACCAAATATACAAATTTAAATCCGGTTCGTAATTAAAGGAAGAAGAGGAAAAAAAAATGCTGTCTCTGTGTGTTTGCATGTGAAATAGAAAATTGGGGCAATTAGATATCAGCATTTGGGGAGAATTAAATTAATGAGGTCTTTAGGATTAAATAAATGTTGTCACTATTTACGATAGTTTGTAATAATGATAATTATTAGATCAATTGCCAGAGAAATTGTGATAATAATTCTTTAATGAGGCGCAAGGTTTTTAATAAGGTGAAATCAGAATACTTATGTTGCTACCTGACTGGTATGAAACATCTATCCCCAAAGCTGCAGCCTAAACACTGAATTCTATTAACTAAATAAATTTGAGGATGTCAAATTAAGGTGATTTCAGAAGTCTTTAAGCACCAGTAAGATTGTTGAAAATAAATTTTTTTAAAAAAACACCGCAGTGATAAAATACATCACCAGTATTAGTCTTCCGGGTAAAAGAAAATATATGGAATATTTAAATGAATATATGGAGAAGGGATAATGCGTGGTTAGATTAGTGAATATTTCTGAAAACACTCTGTGACTTTGCTTTCTGTCTTCCTTTGTATTGAAAATACCCTTGGTGTCCCCATTAGATACCGAAAGCAAAAGCTTTATTTCTTCAAAATAATGGACTTTGGCAATCATGTAGCTGGCCAGTGACTTTCCAATCCACCACTGTAATCTGAAAGGACTGATGGATATAATTGCTTGAAAAAACACTCTACTCTGCTGTCTTAATGCATCAAGATAGTCATCATTCAATTACACATATTCAAAGCTGTCCCTTCCATTTTCTCCTTTTAAGCCCTCTCCTGAAGTAAAGTAAAAACAAATCAGAAATGTGGTACCCTTTTCTTCCTTTCCTCCCTTCGCAAACTCTTTTATTTATTCTTTAACCAATGTTAAATTTTCACAAAGCCGATATTGAATAGCACAGGACAGCAAGATCCGCTTTGACCCAAGCTGCTCTTTGCCAAGTTGCATCTCAGGTTTCAGAGCATTCCCATTCGCAGACTATCCGTGTGTGAAATGATGCATTAAAGGAAACATTCTGCTATAAGGGAGGGGGAAAAAATCTAGCATTGCAGTTTTTCTTCTGCCTTTGCAAAAAGTCAGCTATGATTGGAGCCAGGTTCACAGCAGGCAAAGTCAATATAGTAGTAGCTTCCCATTAGAGAATAATAAAGGAGGGAGCACTGTGTCAATTTTCTTAAGATCATGGGTGAACAGTGGGAAACAAATGTAATAAATTGTATTAATAATAGATATTGGTATTATAACTTTAAGAGACAGATCACTAAGTTTATGAATACACAGTGGAATGGCTTTTATCTCTAAAAAAACAGCTCCTGGAGTCTATTCCACAGTAGTCCATTGGATAAAATAAGATAATGGTTAAATTTGTAGAGAAACACCCCTCCCCCACTTTTATCAATGCCATTAAAGAGGTAGAAGATCTAATTACATTCATATAGCAATAGCACTTAGACTTATATACCATTTTGCAGCCCTCTCTAAGTGGTTTACAGAGTCAGCATATTGCCCCCAACTATCTGGCTCCTCATTTTACCTACCTCAGAAGGATGGAAAGTTGAGTCAATCTTGAGCCGGTTGGGATCGAACTGCTGGCAATGAGAGGTGAGTTAGCCTGCAATACTGCACTCTAATCACTGCTCCCCCACAGCTCTAACTGTATATAAATATAATTACTACATCAAGCCAAATACACTGCATTAAAAAAAAATGGGAGGGAAAACGTTTGCGGTTCTTTGAATGTCTCATTCATAAACCAAATTTTGGCATGCCAGATTAAGAAAAACAAAATTGCAAAATAATAATAATAATAATAAATAAAGGGGGAGATAAATTGGTAAGGGCTTAGGGTTTTCTAACATGGTCCCATATTTCTCAGAATTATTATTACATCTCAGACCAGTTCTTTTAAGTGTCATAAATTATGTAGCTCCTGAAATGTTCTTCTCAAAGACTGAGAACAAGGTCTCTAATAATCTTGCAATCCTGATTCTGCTGCAGAACATACAGGGAAACGCTTTGTATGTTTCATCAAGCTTGATTGGCAACGATCCACAGGCTATTATTTGAGCTAGAAATGATGAGGAAGCAAATTGGAGATAGTTTAACTTGGGATTTACTATATCAAATGGAATGATGGACACTAATTGACAATTTTGAAAAGGGCCAAGACAGTGTCATGGAGAATTGGGCTATAAATAACTACCTTAATTTAGCAGCTGTAAGGGACAACAATGAAAGATGGGGTTATTTCCATGTTTGTGAGCTCCTTGAATTCATCATGTTGCTTGCTAGGTGAGACACAGTGCTGGTTCCTTCCAATATATCTGAAATGGAAAATGGAGGCAACCTGTTGCCAAGATTAAGAGCAGATATATATGGTACAAGTTACCTTCAACATTTTGTCCTTAACAGGAGGGAAATCTCAGTTGTGTAGAGATCTGGATTCATATCTATGAAAGGTTGAATTGTTTGGGCATGTTCACAACACCAGCTTGAATAAGCTGGAAAAGATGTAAAATACATTCCAATGTGATCTTTGAAACAAGACATCTTGAACATTGTGTTTCAGTTCGGCAGAATGAGGGTGAAAATAGAAGTTAACGAAAACATGGGTGGCTGCCAAAATCTGCCTCCCTGCTGTGTGTTCTGGCAGCAACCACTACTGCCTGGGATAAGAAAAGGTAATGGGAAAACTCAGTATGATGGTATTATGCCACATGGCATATTTCACAACGTATTTTTAGGAAGAGGGCTGTGGCATTAAAACTGCCTTAGATGGCTTGATGATTTTTTTGTCACACAGAGGGAGTGTGACAATTGTTTTTATCAGCCATCTACCATATTATTCTGTATTATCTCGGTGGGAGGGAAAGGGATGGAGCTGCATTTGCTTTGTAGCTGTTCCATTCTGACCTCTTAGACTGATTTTCTACACAATTATTTCGGATAATTTATACAGAGATCCTGTGTCTCCCTTCTAGCAATAGCAATAGCACTTACATAGTGCTCATAGTGCTTTACATCACTCACTGGGTGGTTTAAAATGTCACCATATTGCCTCCCAAAATCTGGGTCCTCGTGTTACCAACCTCGGAAGGATCAACGGCTGAATCAACCTTGAGCCTGTCAGGATTGAACTCCAGGCTCTGGATAGAGTTTGCTTTCAATACTAGGGCTCTTTTGCCTTCATCACTTTTTACATCTGCATGAAATTGTTGAGGGAGTCCTTCCTGATTCTTCATCTGATGAAATACAGTGTGCCACAAACTCTTTTTGAAGAGTTTTCTGAGATGACCAACTTTTCTGGTGGCCACGGGCTGGCTTAAAGAGGAAAAAAAAGGAAGCTGGCTCCAAACAAGATTGGAGCACCATGATAGCACTTACAATTGATAGGGTTATATACATCTTCAGAACGATGTCTGTACCTCAAACTGAGGCAATAGCAGGAACATTTACCGTATTTTTTGGAGTATAAGACACACCTTTTTACCCCCCAAAAGGGGGTGAAAATTTAGGTGCGTCTTATGCACTGAATGTAGCCCTGCCCACCCACTGGCCCCCACCCTTTGGCCTGTGCCTCGCAGCAGTTACCTCCTTGCAAGCAAACAGCAAGAAAAAACAGCTCCTTTCAGCTTCAGCATAGGCTAATTACCACAAGTTGATTAGATCGGCCTCCCGACTCTCAGCTGATTTGCTCTCAGCTGTTTTGCGCAGCGCTCTGCTGCTTGCTGTAAAGAGTGCTGGAACAGATTTTTTTTTCCCCTTGTGCTAATCAAGCTATGCTGAAAAGCGAAACTGAAAGTAAAGCAGGCTGTTTACTGCAACGTGGCAAAATGAGGCAGAGGGAGATTTCTTTTTCTTCACCAAAAAAGGTAGGTGCAAACAATGGGAAATTTAGGGCAAAAGAGGAGAGTTCAAGATTTTAAAACACAAAAGAAAAAAGGCAAAAATAAAAATGGGAAGGGAGAAAAAGAAAAAGAAATGAAAGAGAAAGATGTTATACATATTTAGAATTGAAATATGAATAGTAGTAAGAAATTAATGGGAAATCATGATTGTAAAAATAAAATGAATAATAATTGGAATATTTTTCTATATGGGCAAGGCTTTGGGTTATTGGGAGAGTTTAAGATGTGAAAATGAGTAACATAAGGGGAAAGCTCTATTTAACTAGGGAATTGTAATAATTGAGATACTATTAATTGTATATTGTGTTGAAAGCAGAAATGGTTAAGTTGTGGTTTGGAGGAATATATGGGGGAAATTATTTGGTTTATTATTATTGGTAAATATAATTAATTGATTTGTAAGAAATTGGATTGCATGGAAATAATTGGAATATTCATGTTCATATTGATTAATATACAAAAAATATAGTTATATAACTAATTGATTTATATAAAAATGAATTTGTATTAAACAATTGTTATATTACATAATTAACCAATGTGAGGATGAATATAAAAATAGATGACAATGGGAAGGGGTATAATATAGAATAGAAGGGAAAAATTGAATTTGATTAAGATTAGAGATGAGAATGAAGGGTAATATTGGTTTTTTTTAAAAAAAATAGATGAGGAATAAGTATGGCAAAAAGGAAATATAGAAATTGTAAATTTAATTGAAATGACTAAACACTGTTTAAATTTGTGAACCGGCCAAATACTCTGTTCAAAGAAAATACATTGTATGTTTGTATGTGTGTTTATCTAAAAAATAAAAAAAAACTTAAAACAACAACAACAACCAAAAAAGGTAGGTGCGTCTTATACTCTGGTGTGTCTTATACTCCGAAAAATATGGTATTTTAAACCAGGCTTAGCCAATCAACCACGTTTGTCCATTTTAAAAGAAAATTACACTGGTACATCTGCCAGTAACTTGAAGGTTGGAGCCATGGTGGTGCAGTGGTTAGAATGCAGTATTGCAGGCTAATTTCTGTGACTGCCAGCAGTTCAATCCTGACCGGCTCAAGGTTGACTCAGCTTTCCATTCTTCCAAACTTGGTAAAATGAGAACCCGGATTGTTGGGGGCAGTATGCTGATTCTGTAAACTGCTTAGAGAGGACTGTAAAGCACTATGAAGTGGTATGTAAGTCTAAGTGCTATTGCTATTGCTACTGGCAGACTCAATCTGTTGTGCTTGAATTTGACTGGAGAGGTTATAGAAAAAAAAATCTGTGGACTCAAAATTTGGCAGCCTGATTGATTCAAAGGTTGCCAGTTAGTTTCCTGGCAAAATACAGGAAATAAGCACTTACAAAATAATTGCCGATGGTTATTTAAAACCCTGGACACTTCAAGCCTAGTCTATCGAAGAAATCTTGCAACAGCTGCTGATTCTCCTAGCAGAAATTCAAAGTTAGCCCTTCTCTGTAATGACCCCTTAGATTTAGAATAATTGTTGAATCTTTGGATGGTTGGAGGAAGCTTTAAAAGTAGATATCAGTAGTCAGGCTTTTAGTTAATATTGGTTTTGGTAGATTTTTAAAATTATTTAACTTATTGAAAGTTTTTTTTTCTTATTTTAAGTTGTTTTATTTGTTGGGGAATGTTGCTAATGATATATTTAAGTAACAGGTGATTCAGAAATGTAGTGCTAATAACAAGTATACATATGAGTATGTTTTTTTCCCCCAGCTTCCCTAGTATTAGCTTACAGCTGAAATTCCTTCGTCTTAGGTCACAGCTGAAATTCCTCCATCTTGGTGTTAGAGCAGACTTATCAATAGCTTCTTGAAAATCAGTTGCAATGCCAATGATCCCAGTAAAAGAATTGTCATTATTGCTATATTTCAGCACAACTGCCACTTTCCTCCATCCCTCCAAAATGCGCAAAGTGACATACAGTCAGCCATTCTTGTCCCAGGATGGCAGCTTGGTGAGAAGAATTGCAGCTAATGGTCTTTAAGCAGCCACCTTCTGTGTTCATGGTTACTTGGAAATAATTGTAAGTTTTCCATCACACAGATATGAACACTGGACTAATTATTTTCAGTAGCTGAAGACCTATGAGCAAGCGTAATTGCATAGTGATAATTCATAACACCACAGGTGTTCATAAAGAACTCTTTGTTTAGTCTAAGAACTGTCTCTTTTTAGCAATCCACTCCTTTGCAACCATATATTAAAGATACAGAATATCTAACATTGGTAAACAGCTAAAGCTAGAGCTCTGGTATACTGTTTCCTTCAAGATTAAACTTCTACTCTAGGTTCTTGCAAGCTATATACTCATGAAGGTGAACAAACCAAAGAATAGAATAGCTGTTACTTACTACTCCTATGCAGGACCTAGCAAGAGGACACAGTGTTATAATTGTTTGCTAAAATGAACACCTAGTTTGACCCCCTAAGTTGGATGAGAAAATACTGGAGAATTCTTCTTACAGTGCATTACTAAAAATTCTATAATAGAAAGAAAGAGCTATAAATAACTAAGAGGTCGGATATGTTTCCTACAGAAACCCTTCATGTATTCCTCTTTATCAAATATTTCTATTATTGTTATTGAGATTGCTAGACAAAGAGAACTTCCATGAGGTGCTTTATACAACCAATTCAAAGTGATTCATATATTCTTCATGGTCACACACAAACGTTGTTTTCGGTTTTTGAACAAAGGTTGCAATGTTTCTTTAACTAATGGATGAGTTTCTCTTGGACTTCCTCCCAGATAAGTGTGTGTAGGATTATGGTTTTCTGTCAGCATAGAAAAAAGTATAACCCCTCTTTGCTCAAGCCACAGATCTCGTTACATTTTTTTTTCTTTAAAAAGGGAGTTTAAGCAATGATACCTTAACATCTGTACCAGTTTATGCAGGGCTGGAATGTATTTGTCATTTGTTCTTCCTCTCATCTGTCTGTATTCTCCCAGGAGATGTTTGTTTCAATTGTCATACAGGTAAAACACTGTTCGGTGTAGGTTTGTGGTGCAAATTATTTCAGTCTTTTTTGTGCTGCAGCGTTGAATTGCAAATGGGTTTTTTATTCCTCCTCCTTTGAAGGGATCAGAACTGCTCTGCAGTGAGTCACTCATCTGTCAGTTAAAGAACTTGCAACTCTGGAGCTGATATTATGAAAAGAGAGAGGAAGTGTTTCAGAGATAACAAAGCCCGAGAACCGAGAGGTTACAAAAATGAAATTGCATTTCTCATCTTTAGAGCAAATTTATTAGTATAAAGGCTGGGGATGAATTGTAGCTGGGGCACCGGATGAATATTGGGTGCCAGAAGCCAAACTAGCAAAAATAAAACATTTAGAAACCCAAAACATAGATTTTTCTCGTATGTTTTTTTATCACTGGCTTCTCAGGTGTATGTGCATATTAATTCTGCTTGTAGACCTCTCAGTGAAGGGCATCTTCTGGACACTGCAGAGGTGAATTAAAAATGTGAAACATGGTACAGTAGCAAAGATAATATATAATAAAGTTGAGACAAAGCTAGTGCCAGCTGATAGAACAATATTAATAAACAACTCAGCAGTAGACGTAGATGAGTATTTAAAACAGTATTGTCATTCTTGTTGGCATTCGCTGAAAACAGAGTCTTGTCATGTATCTGCAGAGATATGGGTGTGTCAGAGAACATGGGATATAATTCCTTATATATTTTTATTTGAGAACATAGCTAGCCACCTTATAAACAATCATTTTTGAGGGAGGGATCTCCCATGTTACCCACTATTTAATTGGAAATTATTTAAATTGACCTTGAAGCTTCTTGTATACATTCTTCTAAACTGTAATTTGCTTAATTAAAGGAACATAAATTGGTGTTACTGCAATCGTTTCTTCCAATTCTTCCAATTTCGTAAAGTTGCGTCTTAGCCCTTTAGTTCTCATCTTCACATGAGGGTTCCCTATAGAAGACATGCAGATACATGACAAGACTCTGTGTATAGAGTATGTGGGGAGAAGAATAATCCATTTCACACATGCTACAATGTCCTTCAACATGTATGGAGGAAGACCTCATGCTGGCAAGAGAGAACACTGTCCACATGGCCCAATCCTGAGTGAATATCATTTACTTTCAATTCTAATAATTTAATAGGATTAAAACTAAATGACACTTAGTTTTAAATATTTATTTAAGTGTTAAATATTTACATATTTTTACATGTGCTAAATTTCTATGAGCTATTTTATGTCTATTTTATTTGCTCAGTGAATGTTATGTGTTTATAATTATATGACACAAATGAAGAGGCCCTCATTCCTATTCAAATCAAATAGTAATACTCAGCATTTGTGCTTATCTCACTTCATTCTCTCCTTTGTGTTGGCCAGCCTCCGCTCATCAAAACGTAAGACTCCTTATACTGTAATACTAATTTGTCTTTGTGTGTGTGTGTGTGTGTGTGTGTGTGTGTGTGTGTGTGTGTGAGAGAGAGAGAGAGAGAGAGAGAGAGAGAGAGAGAGAGAGAGAGAGAGAGAGAGAGATCATGCCACTCATTAATGAGGAATATACTTATAGTAAATGAAGAATAAAAGTACAGGTAGTCCTCGACTTTATGGCCACAATTGAAGCCAACATTTCTGTTGCTAAGTGAGACATTTGTTAAGTGAATTTTGACCTATTTGACAACATTTCTTGCCACAGTTGTTAAGTGAATCGCTGTAGGTGTTAAGGGAATCTGGCCTCTCCATTGACTTTGCCTGTCAGAAGGTTACAAAAGGTGATCCCATAATCCCAGGAGACGGCAACCGTTATAAATCGGTTGCCAAGCATATGAATTTTTTATCATGTGACCGTGGGGATGCTGCAACAGTCCTAAGTATGAAAAACGACCATAACTCACTTTTTTCAGTGCCGTTGTAACTTTGAATGGTCACTAAATGAACTGTTGTAAGTCGAGGACTACCTGTACTTGTAATCAAAACGAATTTTCTCTCTCTCCCCCATCTGAGATTATTAAGCATCACCGTCTTAGAGAAAAGGGATATTTTTATCCAGATAGCCAAATTGCTCCATACCCCCCTATTATATTTACAGTCCATTGTGTTTTTCTTTCAATGCACAGAGGAGAATGATAAAGGACAACTTCCAAGAAAGCGACGGAGGAAAAAACGGAAGAATGTTTGTCAAACTCCTGCTGATGGACATGGAAGTCCAGCAAGATGTGGAGGGCGTGAAAACCCGATTGGAGATAACTTGCAGCTGCAACACAGGGACAGTCCAAACTTGACTCAAAACCAAAAGAGGAAGATGAAAAAGAAGCGGCGGAAAGAAAAAATGAGAGCAGCTGGCTTACTAGGAAAACCCGTTGCTACCGAATTCACATATATGCCTGAAGAAAAGAGAGAGAGAGAGTTTGAAGTTGCAGATAAAGTAGATGACATACTGGATTTTTTGCAAGCAACACAGGAAATCTATTTTTCTGACAGTAGGTATATTTCATCACACATGACAGTGACTTGAAGGAGGGGAAACAAATTATTTTTCCACTGTCAGATATAGGGAGGGAGAAAGACTGATGATGGCTTTGTGCTCTCAATTTGAGAAAGAAAGAAAATACATACATAACTCCAATTGGGCCTATGCAAGCTATTTTAGATTCACCTTGCAAGTTAAGGCAACAGGATACAGGTAGTCCTTGACTTGGGACCACAATTGAGCCCAACATTTTTGTTACTCAATGAGACGTTTGTGGAATGAGTTTTGCCCCCATTTGTACCGTAGTTGTTAAGTGAATCTGGCGTCCCCATTGATTTTTTTTTTTTAATTTGATTTATATGCCGCCCTTCTCCGGAGACTCAGGGCGGCTTACAATGCGTTAAGCAATAGCCTTCATACTTTTGTATATTTATACAAAGTCAGCTTATTGCCCCCACAAACTGGGTCCTCATTTAACCTACCTTAGAAAGGATGGAAGGCTGAGTCAACCTTGAGCCTGGTAAGATTCGAACCTGCAGAAATTGCAGGCAGATTTTGTTTGTCAGAAGATCGCAAAAGGGGATCACATGACCCTGGGAGACTGCGACTGTCATAAATATGAGCCAGTTGCCAAGCGTCTGAATCTTGGTGACATGACCATGGGGATGCTGCAACGGTCATAAGCGTGAAAAGCAGTCATAAGTCACTTTTTTTTAGAGCCGTTGTAACTTTGAACAGTCCCTAAACAAACTACCTCTCCTCTCCTCTGAGGAGAAGGCCTTAACAAAACAAACCCTGAAAAGGTCACCTTGAACTGACTGGGTCCAGAGTTGTTGGAGGAGAGTCCTGTCAGCCTTCTTTCTCAAGTGTCAACTGAAGACTCTCAGTTGCATCGTACTAGTCTTAATTTCTGTCCTGTTTGGCAAAGCCACCCAACCTGGAACCATGTCAGCCAGGACAGCAGGAGAAGATTTTCCCCTTCAGTCTCCTTCCACAGTGCTTTCCTCTTAGAAAGAAAGAGACTGCACTGCATTGCTTGGAAAGGAAGTTTGCTCAAAAGTATTTTGAAGCTAAACCTTCCCCCCCCCCTCTTTTGAAGATACGATCAGCCCTAGTTCCTATACTCAGGAACCAAGAAGACTTTTCCACTGCCCTTGATAATAAGGTCTTCATTTATTTATCAAATTTATAAGCTCACCCAACCTATAATGATTCTGGGAAGGATATCAGCTAAAAACATGCCCAATATAATAAAAGAGAAAAAGAAGATAGTCAACTGGGAACCAACACAGCTAACCTATTTATGCAATTCCTTCAGAAGGCACGTACTTCCTGAACTCGCTGTCTAAGAAAAGATCTTGTCTGTCAAGGCTTGTCCCAGTGAGGATAGGATCACTCAAACTTCCAGGATGATATCCTTCTAGAGACGTGCTTCTCAACGTTGGCAACTTTAATTCTGGGAGTTGAAGTCCAGACATCTTAAAGTGGCCAGGATTGAAAAACACTGTTCTCTATAGAGAAAGTGTGTTGTGACAGGGAAAGTATAGTTCTATATCCTATTGGATGACACTTAAACTTGGAACCAGGATTGTGTCATATCTTTTTGGATGAGAAAGGTGGAGAAACAAGGATACTTGGATAGCCAGGCTTCAGGCCATGAAGATAGCCAGGCGTGATGCCATAAAGGACTTCATATTGCCACTCATGTAGCAGTAGCCACTGAATCTGTGCCACTCGTGCAGCAGAAGATGGAATCTGGGGAAGTGGGCTATTCACGGGAAAGCAATCAATTCTTAAAATCACTTCCAGCTTTCAGCTCCAGTGCCAAATCTCTATCCTCAGAAGCTTTGACCTCTCGCTGTTGCTTCTGAATACCACGATTGGTCTATAATAGAGCTTCTCTCATTTATGAACTTATTCTGGAAGAATGGCCAACGTTGCATGCTTTATTAAGGCCCATTGGATGCAGATGGGGCTGTTCTTTTTTTATAAATAATAGTTTTTATTAAAGTTTACAATGATAAAGATTGGGGGGAAAAAAGAATGAAGAAGTGGAGGAAATAAAATCACCCAACCCTCAGCTACTTCATATGCAGTGGTGGGATTCAGCCAGTTTGCACCACTTTGGGAGAACAGGTTGTTAACTTTCTGAGCAGTTTGGCAAACTGGTTGTTGGAAGAAATCATTAGGGCAGAGTTGTTAAATTACTTGAATCCCGCCACTGCTCATAGGTGTTCTATATTGCAAGCTGTAGCTGATTCAGAAGACATGGATAGTAAGTGTGTCTGGCTGTGGACAGTGAAGGTAGTCCTCAACTTACAACCATTTATTTAGTGACTGTTCAAACAACACTGAAAAAAGGGATTGTAACCGCTTTCACACTTTATCACTGTTGCAGCATCCTCACAGTCAGATGATCAAACTTCACACTTGGCAACTGGTTCACATTTATCAGGACTACAGCATCCCAGGGTCATGGGATCCACCTTTTTCCATCCTCTGTTCTGCCCAAGCTACGGACCCTATAGAACGCAGAACACACAAAGTCTGTACAAACCTTAGTTTACTAAATTAAATCAGTCTTTTTCAAACAAAGGCTGTTAATTAACTTTCTTAACAGCCTACAAGAATCCAAAGAATAAATAATCGTAATCTTACTATGGTTGGCAGAAAGCCCAGAAGCAGGAAGCTGATAAGAGAACTAAGATCAAGACGAAGGAGAGTGAACGAAGTTGTTCCCTGCAAATTGCCTCAGTCGTCGTCCTTCCTTAAATAGGCTAAGGGAGTGGCCAATTAGCCCCAAGCCTTACTCTCGAGGAGACCTCCTCCTGAGGAGCCACTCCTACCTTTTGGCAGCTCTTCTTCCTCTTCACTTATAGGAGCTTCTGGAGGTTCTGAAGGCCCTGGCTGAATCCCCACCTCTGGCACCACATCTTCTCCAGCCTCCTCATTGTCTGACTCAAGTGCCAGCTGCACAGGCTGCTGGCGCAGCACCACACCAGCCTCCTCGCTGTCAGAATCAGCTACTAGCTGCACAGGCCGCTGATGGGCCACAACATCTTCTGACAAAGTTAATGGGGAAGCCATTAGTAACTGTGTTACTAACTTAACAGCTTCAGTGAGCCACTTAATAACCGTAACAAGAAGGGTTGTAAAATGGGGCACTTAACACCTGTCTCACTTAGCAACAGAAATTTTGGGCTCAGTTGTGGTCATAAGTCAAAGACTACTTCTATTGATTCAAGCCTGCTCTTGTTTTTTGTTTGATGCCTATTTCCAGGATAGCTCTGATACAATAGCAGATGTGAGGAACTATGCTTTTAGATGTACTTGAATATATGAATAATCATTGTTTATTCTAATGAGATGCATTTCTAAGCGCATGCACTGAAACTTCCCTTTTTCATGTAAACTACAGAACCTGTTTTCTGTGTCTCCCGTTTAATTCCTAAAGTACGGGGGACAATGGTATATAGTATGATTTCATGCTATACTTTCCAGAAGATGCAGTGGCACAAAGGTCCAGTAAATTATTCATGAGCAGGCATCATACACCCACAGGCAAAGATTTCAAAGAAAATGATCCTGCATTTTTCAGATTTAGGAAGTAGCTGTACTGAATACAGATTCCTTTATTTTGTTAGATTGAATTTCAAACACATCTGCAAACCCTTGTTGGAATATAAACTTGAAGCTTTACCACCAGAGATGATAACTGGGCAGAAAGAAAGGGATGGGACGGGAAAGGACATAAGTGAAAAAAGTTCATTTTCATATTTGAAAAACATGGAAAAAATCCTCTATCTATCTATCTATCTATCTATCTATCTATCTATCTATCTATCTTCTATCTTTCTATGACAAGAATATGATAATTAGCTATGTTTGTGAAATAAAGTTTTTCTTCTGCTTTGATTTACATTGTCACTGGGAATAGTCTATTTGCATTACTAAAAACAATAGCATAACTAGCATCTTAATGCTTTTTATTCACTTTCTTTCCATAGTGTCTCATAAACAGTTGGATGACTTCTCTCACCCTTTCAGCCTCTTTCTATGTATGCTTGATGTTATTTTAGTAATTATTTTATTTGAAATCACAGATTAGGGAATAGAAGTATTGTTCTAGGATGAGTTGTTTTTCAAAGGCATGTTGCTCTTGAAACATGACATATATGATCATTGATCCCTTGGCTCTTGAAACATGACATATATGTCAATGATTCCTTGGCTGTGGCACCAAGGGATCATTGACATATACGGAAGATCCATGAGACAAAGTTGCCATCTCATCCCATAATCCTTTTAAATGGAGGGAGTTCATAATTTTGGGTCTAGTTATTGATTATGCATGGACCTCAGCCTTTAAAAATTGATATTTATATGAAGCTCTCTTCATATCAATATCATCAGGTTGAAGTCATACTCATGTGTAATGTGTAATGTAATGTAAAAGTCATGTGTAATGCCTATAGCTTCTCAGCATAAGCTCACTTGATGTTCATCAGGACTGTACTCAAGGTGTATGTATGGTTTTATACAGACCCATCAGAGCAGGATGGACCTGGCAAATTTAAGAGGCCCAGATTCAGAAACATTCCGGTCCCCAATGCTTTTCTCGTTCCCCAGGTAGCACAGAGCCTCAGGGCCTGGGCCACTGGCTGATGTTGTGCAATGCCAGGTCCGTGGTAAATAAAGCCCTCCTCATTCATGATCTTATTCAAGAGGGGGAGCGGACCTGGCGGGTATCACGGAGACCTGGTTGGGTCCGGAAGGTGGGGTGCCCCTTGTTGAAATGTGCCCACCAGGTTTCCGGGCATTCCATCAGCCGAGAGCCCAGGGTAGGGGCAGGGGGGGTGGCGGTTATCATTAAAGAAAGTCTATGTCCGAGGGAGACCATTGTACCTCAGATAGCGGGTGTGAGTCCCCTCCTCGTGAAGTGGGGCCGTGGGGTGCAGATGGGCCTGCTGATTATGTACTTGGCTCCCTGCTACGTGGCAGCGGCCCTGCCCGAACTGCCTGACGTGATAGCTGGGGTGGCGGTGGATACCCCCAGGCTTATGGTTATGGGGGATTTCAACCTGCCATCTGTCAGTGAAATGTCTATGGCGGCTCGGGAATTCATGGCTTCCATGATGGCCTTGGACCATGATCCTACTCACATGGGGGGACACACTCTGGATCTGATTTTTGTCTCAGTGGCAGAGTGATTTGGAAATAGGGGATTTAGTCATTAAGCCCTTGTCATGGTCTGATCACTCTCTCCTTTGCATGGACTTTCAAACCGCTACCCCTCGCCACAGGGAGACGGAGCAGACTAGATGGTTCCATCCCAGGCGCCTGATGGACCCTGATAGGTTCCTGACAGAGCTTGGGCCATTCCCTAAGACACTGGCTCACGGCACGACTGAAGAACTGGTGGCTGCCTGGGATAGGGCGGCTGCTGGAGCTTTGGACCACATCGTGCCTTTGCGGCCTCTGACCCGGTGCCGATCTCAGCTGGCTCCCTGGTTCTCCGAGGAGCTGAGAGAGATGAAGCGCTGGAAAAGACGCCTGGAGAGCGATTGGAGGGCCAGCCGCTCCAAATCTGACTGAACACTGGTGAGGTCTCATATTAAGATCTACCTAGTGGCGATAAAAGCGGCAAAATCTAATTATTTTTCCACCTCTTATCGGGTCTGCAGAGAACCGCCCAGCAGCCCTGTTTAGGGTGACCCGCTCCCTCCTTCAACTGGGAGCGAGGGAAGACCCCTTACAGGGCAGGACTGAGGATTTTGTGCAATTCCTGCATGACAAAGTCACTCAGATTCGGGAAGGCTTGGATTCTGATTGGGTAGATTCAGATGGGGTGATGGAGATGGGTCTTGAGATTGTTATCTGGGAGGGGTTTGACCCTGTGACTCCCAAGGATGTGGACAGGATTCTGGGTAGGCTTAGCGCTGCCACATGTTTATTGGACCGTGTCCCTCCTGGTTGGTGCTGGCCTCCCAGGCGGTTACACGAGGCTGGCTCCAGGGGATTATTAATGCTTCTTTGAGTGACGGTTTCTTCCCTCCCTCTTTGAAAGAGGCGGTGGTGAAGCCCCTCCTCGAAAAGCCTTCCCTGGACCCGGCTATATTAGCGAACTATCATCCAGTCTCCAACCTTTGCTTTGTTGCGAAGGTTGTTGAGAGTGTGGTGGCGCAACAACTTCCCCAGTACCTGGATGAAGTTGATTATCTAGACCCGTTCCAGTCGGGCTTCAGGCCGGGATACAGCACGGAAACGGCATTGGTCACATTGGTTGATGATCTCTGGAGGGCTCAGGACAGGGGTTGTTCCTCTGTCCTGGTCCTATTAGACCTCTCAGCGGCTTTTGATACCATCGACCATGGTATCATGCTGCGACGATTGGAGGGGTTGGGAGTGGGGAGCACCGTGTTGCGGTGGTTTTCCTCCTTCCTCTCCGCCGGTATGCAGTTTGTGTTGGCAGGGGGACAGAGGTCGACCTCGAGGTGCCTTGTTTGTGGGGTGCCGCAAGGGTCGGTCCTCTCACCCCTTCTGTTCAACATTTATGTGAAGCCACTGGGCGAGACCATCCGTGGTTTCGGGTGAGGTTCCATCAGTATGCTGATGACACTCAGCTGTACATCTCCACCCCGGACCATCCCAATGATGCCCTTGACGTGATGTCCCGGTGCCTGGAGGCCATGCGGATCTGGATGGGGAGGAACAGGCTCAGACTCAACCCTTCCAAAACCGAGTGGCTGTGGTTCCCGGCGTCCCGGTATAGTCAGCTGGCGCCATCGCTGACTATTGGGGGTGAGATCTTGGCCCCTTCAGAGAGGGCTCGCAACTTGGGTGTTCTCCTGGATGCACGGCTGTCTTTGGAAGAGCATATGACGGCCGTGGCCAGGGGAGCTTTTTATCAGGTTCGCCTGATACGCCAGTTGCGTCCCTTTCTGGACTGGGATGCCCTGCACACGGTCACTCATGCCTCGTCACGTCACGTCTGGACTACTGCAATGCTCTCTACATGGGGCTCCCCTTGAAGAGCATTCAGAGGTTCCAACTGGTCCAGAATGTGGCCACGTGGGTGATTATGGGGGCGACTTTTCGCACCCACATGACATCTCTCCTGCGCGAGCTGCAATGGCTCCCAATGGTCTTCCGGGTGCGATTCAAGGTGTTGGTTACCACCTTCAAAGCGTTCCATGGCTTAGGACCGGGGTATTTACGAGACCGCCTTCTGCCATCGACAGCCTCCCACCGGCCAACTCGCTCCCACAGAGAGGGGCTCCTCAGGATGCCGTCAGCCAATGTCGACTGGCGACACCCAGGGGGAGAGCCTTCTCTATGGGGGCACCAGCCCTCTGGAATGAACTGCCCCTAGATGTACGTATGATCCCCGACCTGCACACCTTTTGCCGCGCCCTGAAGACCCTTTTATTTCAACAAGCCGGGCTGGCCTAATATGAATATGAATTTTAAATGGGTGTATGTTAGTTTTAATTTGCAGGCCAAATCTTTGTATATCCAATTTTAATAATTTTTTAAATTTTGTAAATTATATGTTTTTTTTTTATTGCAAAAGTTTTACAATTACATTTTCACCCCTTTTTTCACCCCCCCACCTCCCTCCCCAAACTTCCCATCCTCCCTAACCCTCCCTAACCCTCCCCCCCCAGACTTCCCTATTATGTACTCATAACTAATAACACTGATATATAAACCTGAACCCATCCCTCCCCCTATATAATTTTTCCTCTTTGTCTCTTTACATTAAGATATTTCTAATACATTATTTTCAAATAAAAGCTATTTGATACTTTCTAGTTTGGTATTTGTTCTGAACATATTCTATCCACCTTTTCCATTCCCATTCATAAGTCTCTTGTGAACAATCTTTTAAATATGCTGAGATCTTCGCCATCTCTGCAAAACTTGCCATCTTCAAAGTCCATTCCTCGATAGTAGGCAAAACTTCATTCTTCCAATATTTACCTATCAACAATCTTGCTGCTGTTATCATATACAATATTAGTTTTATTTCACCCCGTGTAAAACCCTTAACTATACCCAATAAAAACAATTGTGGAGAAAATTGAATTTTTTTCTTCAAAACATTCTGCATGACCCACCATATTTTTATCCAAAAAGCCTTAACTTTCCTACAGGTCCACCAAACATGATAATACGTAGCATCCAAACATTCGCATCTCCAACATTTTGGCTGAACATTAGGGTACATACATGACAACTTTTTAGGATCTAAATGCCATCTATAAAACATTTTATAAAAATTTTCCCTCAGATTCTGCGACTGTGGTAAATTATATGTTAATATGGCTGTACATCGCCCTGAGTCCTTCGGGAGAAGGGCGATATAGAAATCTAATAAAAGCTAAAGCTAGAGCTAAATGTTTCTCAATATCATTTTTTTTAAAAAATAAGTCTGTCAAAAGCAAAACCACAGAGTGAAAAGGCAAATAAGATGCTTTTTTACATACAGGTAGCCCTCAAGTTACCAGCACAATTCAGCCCAAAATTTCTGTTGCTAAAAAAGACAGTTGAGATTTGCCTGATTTTTTTTTCCCCGGCTGTTCTTGCCACAGTTGGTAAATGAATCACTGCAGGGATTAATTTAGTAACATGGTTGTTAAGTAAACCTGGCTTTCCCATTAACTTTGCAAAAAGTGGTCACATGAAGCCACGACACTGCAATCGTCAGAAATATATGCCAGTTTGCAAGTGTCCAAATCTTGATCACCTGACCACGGGGATTCTGCAACGGTCATCAAGTGTGAAAAATGATCATAAGTCACTTTTTTTCATTGCCGTAACTTCGAACCACCATTAAATGAATTGTTGTAAGTCGAGGAATATTTGTACGCTGATACTTTTTCTTTCCCTTAAGAGCTATCAAACAGTGCAGAGTCAGCTGAGAGCTCCGGAAGCATCCATGAGGTTTTAAAGAGTCTTGAATCTGGCATGTTGTCATCATCAGATATTACACGTCTTCGTCAAATGAAATCATTCGTCCTTCTGCAGAATGTGGAGGAACTAAATATTGCCCTGAAAGATCTCAGCACACATTCAGAGATGCCTCATGGTAGGTTGAATGCATCCAGGTTTGTTATGAGATTCCTTCTAGCATGCAGATTTCCTATAAAACTATTCTTCTCAAGCATTTTAATTTCTTTTTTTTAAAAAAATAATTTATGTTTGTTTAAATATAAAGGGCTTTTATTCAGTGTGTCTTTGCAGGACAAAATGTAAATTCTTCTCCCCCCCCCCCCCCCCAAACTTCAAATAAGTTCTTTGTATGGGAAAAGAGAATTTAAATCTTGAAATTGCTTTCTGGTCAGTCATGGCTTTCCATGATCTTTTTGCACAGTGTCTGTGCAGCTGCTAGATACCCCTAAAAGTGGTTCTCAAATGTAATTTATATTCTGACAGATGGGAGATATTTATTAAATAAACGACAGGAGAATAATCATCTTAAGTATATTTAATGTAGTTTAATGAAATGAAATCAAATTTAATCCTAGCCCTCCCCCTTACTTTATGGAAAAGCTCTTAGCCCAGAAATAAAATGTGCACATGGGTCTTAAACATATGGACGGGCAAGGTTTTGCTTATTACTATATAATGTATCCCCTATATGGAAGAGCATCATTGCCAGAATTCCTTTGGCTGGCATATATCAAGTTCCAATTCATGGAATGCTTGATTCTTAGCATTGAGAAAAAAAGAAAATCCCATCAGGAATGAAAAAGCTTTGTTTTATACAATGACAATAAGAGATTAAAGTTTAAAGAGAAGAAAAGGAAAAGGAAGCTGTTGTAGTTAATTTCTTAGTACATTTGTTTTAGAAGTGTAGAACATGCATATCAAGTAGGCACTACATCCCATAGCAGAGAGGAAGGAAATAATCTGCTATATGGTCACAAAGAACCCTAACTGTCATAGTTATACATTAGAGGTATGTCTGCACCTTTGGTTCTAGTTAATATAGTCATACTTTCATTTTGTGGGACAATTCATTCATTGCATCCAGTAAAAAACTACATGTGATGAAGAAATGAGAAGAGTTAACAGATTCTTCTTTCAGTAAATTCATGTATTCTTAATCTCTATGCTAAATCAAGAATAAAAATATCCTACCCTCTACAATTGCGAAACTGATCAATAGAATTATGAGAGCCTGTTTGTTTTTTTAAGCATTTAAAAACTAGGAGATGGTGAGTTCTAGTTCCCCTTTAGGCCTAAAGTGAGCTGGTCCCTCCTCTCTCAGTCCAACAAGGCATGGACAAACCACTTCTAAAATGTTGCTAAGAAAAACTGTCTGAATTTTTCACCAGGAGTCTAGACTGACTTGAAGGCAGGAAAATAAAGTAAAATAAAAATTGCATTGTTAAATTGAAATAAAAATATCCTAGCTTCTATAATTGAAAAATTGATCAAAAGATACATAGACCATGTTATTTGAAGGATATCCAGGGAGCTTCATTGGAACATAATATTCCATAATTTGGGTATCTAATATAATATATTATTGTGTTAGCTGTTTATTCGTCATTTATCGAGATGGAATGAAGGTCTTTGAAAGGTTAATTGTTTTGATTGTTGATTTGATACTTATGAATTTGCTTCTCTTTGTTTGCTACAATTTCCATTTCCTTAAGGGAATACTAGTTAATCAGAGCCAGTTTGGTGTAGTGGTTAAGGCATCAGGCTAGAAAGCAGGAAACAGTGAGTTCAAATTCCACCTTAGCCATGAAAGCTAGCAGGCTGATCTTGGGCCAGTTACTGTCTCTGAGCCCAACCCACCTCACAGGGTTGTTGTTCTAGGGAAAATAGGAAGAGGAAGCTGTGTTAGATACGTTTACTGCTTTGAATTATTTGTAAAAATAATAAAGGTGGGACACAAATAAATAAATATATATTTCTTGTTATTAATGTTTGTATATGATATATGTATTGTTTTAATCTAATCTGTTGAAAGTTAAGAACAGAGTTATTTAAGGTACATGCATGTTAGTTGCTTTTTTACTTCAAGTTTATCTGGATTTAATAATAAAATGTAAAAAGTTGAAACTCTTTTGTTGGCATATATTTCCAGTTATTTCAGTTACATCTTTAAGTCATTTCACAAGTTTGTCCTTGGGAATACAAATGACTAAAGGTATAAGCCAGTTGCTGCTTAAAATTATAATGCAATAATTAAAACAGCTAAAAAAAGTCATTACAAAATTCACAATAATTGCTTTTTTGCTTTGCTATGAAAATTAGCTTTGCAAACAAGATGTATTGTTAAACTCTTTTTTTTAATGTTTATCTCCACTAAAGTTAAAAAAAAAGGGAGACAATATTTTGATGTGGAGAGAAGAATCTAGGATTTTCCAATCAGCTGTTCTACTTGAAGTAAATGGATCATTTCCCAATATATAGTTACAAGTAGTTCTCCAATTATGACAGTTCACTTAGTGATGGTTCAAAGTTATGATACCACCCCCAAGAGTATTTATGACAATCCTGATGTTACAAATGTTGCAGCTTCACAGCCGTCATTCACTCTTACGACCGACCGTAGAGACACTGCATTCTTCCCTCTGCTTATTTCCTCCCTAAGGACCTAACAGGCACTGGCCCTGCTATACTAGCCCACCAGCTCCTCCCCACCCTGTTACTGATTGCTCACTTACCTTTCAAAGATCCAGAGTTCCAGAACAAGCTGACCGCTTCTCTCTCCTCAAGCAAGTGATCTCCTCTCCAGACTTTCTGTTGCGGGGCTGCGGGGCATCGTGCTTTCTTTGCCTGCTCCGAGCACTCCAAAAGCAGAGCTGTGAGAACAGAGGCAGAGAAGGAACGAGTGTGCCCTGCTCAGCTTGGCTGACTCACTGAAGCTGCCTGTGCAGGATACCAGATCTGTTTTTGCAGCACCGGACAGCCTTAGTGAGTCTGAAGGAGCATAAGATTGCGCCCCCGAAGAGCTCTGCCCCTTTGCAAAAGCTTTTGGTGCAGAGGACAGGGGCCTGGAGAAGTGCAAGATCGTACCCCCCAAAGGCTTCTGTGCTCCTCTCCAAAAACTTTTGTAAAAGAATGAAAGGCTTCGGGGGAGTGATCTTGCGCTGCTTCAGGCCTCTGTCCTCTGCACCAAAAGCTTTTGCAGTGCCTGTGGAGACCCGGTGGGACAGAAAGTGGGGGGGAATCATTAGATATCTCAATAGATCGGGGAAGCCTTGGGCAGTCAGATGCACTAAGCCCCCCATGGTCTTCCCCACCCTAAGATACTTCATGTGCACTCAATGACCTGCACATTCAATTAGCAAATGCATTGGGTAAAGCAGGGAGGGATCAAATTCATTTAATGTGATCCAATTAACGAACCCTCAGGTTGCAAATGTAATTGGCATGCTCTATTACATTCGTAACTAGAGGATTACCTGTATACTTAAAACTTTTTCTACGGTAAGAGCTAACAATTTCTAAGCCAACGATTGAAACTGGTCTTGTTTCTTTTCCAGTTTTTGGAAGGAGCTTAAACCTTGCAGTCTGTTGCCAAGTTACTGAATCTATTTTGAATCAATTTTTTAGAATAATTTGCTTACTTAGAAAAAACGGGGACAATTTCTGACACTGAGTTATCCACTAGTTGTCCTCTTTTATGCCAGCTTTTACAGTACCACTGAGATAAATTCATGCAATTAATAGTAGCAGAAAGGCTTTAAATTCAGAGATTTATTTCTTGATAGAACTTCCCTTGATGATAGTAAATTAAAAGCCATTTTAGATACAGTGAAGCTCTCATGGGTTCAATTCAGCAAAAACAAAAGTTTGTTCCAAGATTAATTTGTAAGAAAGAATGATCTAGAACCATTGTACTTCTGAGCCAGCTAGTCAGCCGGCTAGAAATACATTGACCCAATGCATCCTGTAATGTTAGCAATAAAATATGTGGTTATCTCCGAGATTAACAAACATTTGGGGAAGGGGTTACCTGTGGATCAGTCCCACAGTTTAAGCTGCACACAGATTTCAGTTCAATTTATTTAATGTTTATTGCCATCTGAAATACAATGGATACTGAAAGAAATCTGGTGCACAAGGGACTTTATTCCATATTTGGCTATTCGTTCCTGTGAGCAAAGATGTGTGATCAATAGTTTTACAGTTTACTTCAGGGATTATAGGAAGTATATTACTTTCTCTAAATACAGCTTTGTCCTTTTATCTTTGATGGTGATAGCTGTTGCCAGTGGATTAGGAATTCATAACTTTCTTTCGTGCTTAGTATGGCAATTTTGGAAATGTAGAAGTCAAACATAGATTTCACCTCAGAATAGCTAGAGTATGGATTATTGCATCCAAGGTGGGGGGGATTATACTTCGGAGTCCTTGTCATCCATGGGAATAAGAAGGAGGAAAGTGACAATATGAACATTACGATGTAAGCTCCACACTTTTGTATGTGCAACGTGATATCACATGCACATAAAGACACGACATTTCATCATTCTGGCAAAGCAGATCCTTGTGTTTGTATCTGATCAGAGGGATGATACATGCCTTCCTTTTATTTCATCTGCATGTTATGATTTTGTATTGAATTTTATACTCCAACCCAGGGGTGTCAAACTCAATTTCATTGAGGGCCGCATCAGAGTTATGTTTGACCTCAGGAGGGCAGGGGGGACATGACCAGGGTGAGTGTGGCCAGCATGATGTCACTCATGTCACCTGTGGCAGCCCGAGTGTTCTGCCAACGAAAACGGGTTCCTGAGCTCTGTTTTCGGCCAAGACAGCCTCCTGCAACCCTCTGCTAGCAAAAATGGTGCTTGGGGAGGCTGCATGCAGCCCTCGCAACCTCCATTTTCGGCTGGGATGGTCTCCTGCAAACCTCTGCCAGTGAAAACGGAGCTCAGGAAGAGTCCCAATTTTGCTGGCAGAGGTACTGCAGGCCGGTCCTTCACTGTTTCCAGGGCGGGCCTGTGAGCCAGATCTAAGCACCCCCCCCCCCCCGCCAGGCCGGATCTGTTCCCTAGGCCTTGAGTTTGATATCCTTGCTCCAATTCATCCATTAGTCTTGTGGAAATATGTTTTCCAATT